CAAACGGGTTACAAACTGGACACGACCATTTCGCGGTAATAATTCATCGGCGGTGAACATTTATGCGCGTCGGTGCGCTCTGCGATTTTCCTTTTTCTTTTTTCTTTTTTTTTTTTTTCTTTTTTCAGCTCTCACACGACTCGCACACAGCTTCACGCGTGTATTGGAAAATCGTTTTATCGCAGGCGATATCCTTCTAGCCTGCTCGGTTCCCTCGTAGCGACGACGAGATACGATCTCGTTGGTCTCTTCTGCGATCTTGCTTTTGTTCAACTTCGAATTCTTTCGCGAGAGCTGGATTTGGGTGGTTGGAAGGAGAGAGAATCAAGCGTGCGTGAAGTCCGTGTCGTTTTTAGGGTTGTCACAGACGAAGGATAATTTAAAAATTGAGAGATAATAATGTACCACTGGCGTTGTGATTTGCGACGATTAACAATCGCGGGCAAGTGAATCAAATGCATACTTCTATTTTTCTTTTTTTCTTCGATTTTTAATTGTTATTTAAAAATCAGAATCGCGAAGGTGTTTCAGAATCACGTAGGAAACTTTTACGCGTAGAGTAAGTTTAGGTTCGATTTAAAAATCGGCATCAGTCGATTATCAGAATACCCTCTTAACGTACCTTCGCGTACATCAAACGCACATCAAATATCGTTGAACGAAGTCGAATGGAGGAAAGATTCCTAGGTGGAAAATCGCCCGTTTCGCCCCAGCGGAGGGATGTCTGGCATTGTTAGGCTGCGTCACTCGTTCGGCGGTCGTTAAAGCGAATATTACGGTAATACGAGGAAATTGTGGCTGGCCGAACGAACGAACGAACGAACGAACGAACGAAGAGGAACCAGCGAAAGGGATGACTAGGTGGCGGCATTTGTTCGCCGCGAGCTAAACCGTGAATTTTCCAGGGACGAGCGATTGCCTGGCGTCGAATACACAAAGCGAGACGACGCAACAACGGAGCAGCTCTCTCTCTCTCTCTCCCTCTCTCTCTTTCTCTCTTTCTCCCTCCAGTTTCCTTCTGCGTGCCTCTTCTTTCTCCACGGAACACGTTTCCGTTCGTTCCGGGCAGGGGGTAGGAGAGGAAGGATAGAAACGCCGGAACAAAGCAGATTGCTCTCCGGCCGGCGCGTTAAGTTTCCTCGGCGGCGGCGACGGTAGCGGCTTAATGACTTATCAGACGGGAAAATAGCGTGAAAGTGAATTATTCAAATTCTTCGCCTCGCGTATTATTATGCATGGAAAATTATCAGCGGCAGCCTCCGCCGGGAGCCGAGTTTGATTACGAGCTGAACGAGCTTCGCCGCAACTTACTTCTTCCCGCGCGTTTTGTTTGTTGCGCGAGCGGTTGGCCGATCCCTCGTCCCTCGGACGTGATCGATGATTGCTCGATTTGATTTGTTTGGTTGATGGTTTAATTGGAAGATCGGTAAGAGCTGGAAGATTTTAAGTAAAGTTCGATCGACGCTAGGTGAGAAATTAGGGGCGTTAGTGCTGTTACCAGTGGTTTAAGGCAGAGGAGAGAATCGGTTCAAACTCGGACACTATCTGAAGTATATTATTATTCGCGCTGATCGCTTTACACGTGTACTCTGATTGCTCGCTCGCTAAGGAAGAAGGAAGTGAACGAGAAACGTGTCCAATAAACGGAGCAACTAGTATATCACGTGACAATTACTTACGTACTAATTTTAAATTTATTTATATAATTTTATCTTTTTTAATTAAAATTCCAATATATATATATATATATATATATGTGATTCGTGGATGATTATTAAAAGCTCATGTTGAAGCTTCTTTTTTACAATAATTTTCAATAATTTTAGCTTCAGTAATATTAAAATTAGGAAGATATGGATTATTACGAATTATATATATAATAAAATTCATATTTAATCAATTTTATTTAAATTTAATAGTAATTAATTTATATGGAATAATATTTTTAAGAATTATATGTTAGTTGCTCTAACAGATGTCGCGATTATACCTAGATTAGAATTACATGTTTCTACAGTTAGTTCACTCACGTTTTGCAGCAAGTGTACACGGCGTATTCGTCTGAATTAAAGAAACAAACGAAATTCAGGACAACAATCAAGTTCTCGTAGCCACAACGTCACAAAAGAAGAAATTTGACGATGTAAACTGGCGGGAAAATTATCGCAAGGAATAACGGAATTTATTCTTCCTTAATGGATGAATAATCCTCCGGACGTGGTTGAAAAACAAAAAAAAAAAAAAAAATCACGCGAACTACGCAACCGTGCTAATCGATTATTCACGGACATCGTGAACCCTATCACGTCTCGATAAATGCCCAGGGGTTTCTCCCGTTTCCGACGCAGAAACTTACGACGCGCTTCAAATATGAAATCCACGCGCGGCGCGGCCGTGTTTCGAACGATCTCGATAATTCACGAAATCGATCGCGTGCGGGACGAGAACCGCCGCTGCTGGCCCAGCAGCCCTCTTTTACGATCCTCGCCCGTATTTACGTTACAGCCGAGGAAATCTGCGTGCTTCGCTGTGTGTATGTGTGTGTGTGTGTATGTGTCTGGTGGTCTCGTTGCATAGAGGTACGCAGGTGCACCGGAAACGGTCGCATAGAGATACACCCGCCCTGTTATGGCCGCGTTTCCCCTCGTTTGTCCCGACAAGGAGACAGTTTCAGATCTCCTCGTCGTCGTTTCCGCGATCTTGACACTAGAACTATCAAAATATGCCAAATACCAATCGAAATGACCGATTTTGATCATTTACCCTAGAAATCTTACAGGCGTAAAGCAACATGCTTTTAAATGGTTCGTAAAATGTAGGAATAAGAGTTTCCTTGTAACAAAATTGTGTTACAAAGTTTCACCATTCTCTCTGTTTTAACGATTTTGATTGACGTTTTCTAGTGTTAAGAGAGTAAGTGATTGGCAAAATGTCGTAAAGGTTCAAACTGATGTTAGACTGATGTATTGAGAATGGTCGTCTAAGTCTGATTGTTAATTATTGACGTAATCTTTACGTCGTTATTTTAATGCGTGTTGCTAAAAAAAAAAAAAATATTCAGAAGACAATAACCAACTCGCCAATTTGATTTTCTCTTCCAGATCGATGAAGTTTCGAACATTTAGTGAACTTTTACAATTGCTAGAGACGGACTAAACTTGAAAATGAGCTGAAACTATAGTTCAGCATGGCTTAAACTGGGTAGTACATCTTGATCGTATCAGCTGATAGTGTTCTTATTAAACTTCCTGCTAACGCTGTTAAATTCTGTTGTTATTACAAACGCGTGGTGTGCTGAGAATTAAATTTCGTCACTTGATCTTCGATATTAAAACAGATTCGTTTCGTCGCTTCCGCTTGAGAGAGCTTGGCAAACAATTGCTACTTTTTCGCGCCCTGGAAAAATCAGAAAAAAAGGCTATCTGTCGTGACATCGACGAATCATTCGGCAAAGTACATCGTGGAACAGCGGCACGGTAGGAGGAGCTGGTAACGATAAGAGGGAAGATAACGGGAACTTTTAACATCGGGCCGCGATAAAATCGGCGGCGGGCGAAGGATGTGAACGCTTAGTAGACGCGCGTGGCCATTGTGGGGAGCAGCAGGTGCCATTCGCCGAATGGCAGCATTATCGCGCATTCTCCGACGCCCAGGTTATGTCAGGGTTACGCATAGCCTATTCAGAAGTGGTCATGCGACCGTGTTCAAAGGGCCATTACGAAAATGACCATTAAAATAAATTACTCTCATCGCGCGAGCTGCGTAATGCCCGGCAACGCTGGCCCCAATACCTTGGAATACGTGACGCGGAAATAGTCTGCGGCGTACGAATCAATTTACGCAAATAATGGTACCAGCGAGAGAGAGAGAGAAAAAGAGCAAAATTGTACTATTGCATGCAAAAAGAGCTTTCAGTAACAAAACTCAGTTCCACTGAAAAGTAGAGAATGTTTCTTACATGCAGTAACGTTGTAAATATTGCAACAAGCGGTCGTTGCAATATCTACAACGTTGAAAAATCCAACGTTTCTTTCGATTATCTTTGACCTAGTATTTGAACAAAGAGGTACATAAAGAGGAGAAATATAAAGAAACTCTTGTTCGCGTTTCACGATTCCTCGTTTTAATTTCACGTTGGAAGTTTTCTTTGGAACTTTCTTTTCTTCTTGTTGGATCGAACGTCAACATTCAGCGTTAATCATTTCATTGGCCACGGTCAGATGTTATTTCAAAACACTCGCGGGGATTCTTCTCGCGCCCAACAGTACAATTTTCGTCGATGGAAACAGTGGATCGTCGGATTCGAGTACCTTCGACATATAGAAGGATATGTCCATCCTCGGATTTTGGTCACACGCTGGCCAACTGGCGACTGAAATTTCGTGATGAATACGAGTTGGAGAAATCGTCGATTCCGTTACTGTTATTTCGGGCTGCAGGTGGCCGAGGCAGCCATATTTCAAGGAATTTCGAATGGATTATTGAGCGGTCGGATTTGAAATGAATTGGTGCCGAGCAAAGTTGCTGCCACGAGTTCTTTTCTCATCGTGTTTCGGTCGTTTCTCTGACGTTGAAAGATCCTTCGAGACCGTGATGTTAATGTTGCAAATATTTTTCGCAAATATCTAAATCAGTGTCTCGTGCTCGATCTTTACTGTTTTCGCAGTAACGGAATATTCAACTGTCGGATTAACGAAGAATTTTCACTATGTGACACGCCGATTCTTAAATCCCATGGATGAGAAATATTCTGAGAGATTGAGGATTATAGTGCTGGAACTTAATAATTAATCTTCGTAAAATATTGCTGTGTATTTCTCGTTACAAGAAATCCTTCGTACTCGTCTTTTAATTTCACGAAAAACGTATCAAAGTGGAGGACAAAGTTGTAAAACTTAACTAATGTTGAAATGTAAATATTTGAATTTGAAAAGTTGAAACACAAGCGTTTGAATTCACTTCAATCCGCCAGAAATTGAGTTCGTAAATGCTATAGCATAATGCTAGATAAAACTGAAGTAGACACCGAATGAATTGGCCATTTTTCTTCTGTTCTGTCCTCGTTATAGGGACGAAGAACGAAAAAAAGAAAAAAAAAAAGAAAAAAGAATTGAAGTTATAGATTAGTGCAGAAGAACGAAAGGGACCCACATGTGGAAAGAGAAAGGCGATATATCGCTGAAAAAGAACAGATAAAGGGTAACATCTGTTACGAAGATCGGAAATAAAATAAAGAGGGTATATTTTCGCGAAGAGGTTATATTAAAGGACAAATACTGCCATGTGCTTCTAACGTCAGTATGTCAGTTCGTCGTGCATGCGATTCATCTCGTCAGGATACGGTTGATCGGTATAAAAAAAAAACAACGATTAATTGTAAGTAGAAGTTGAAACTGTCAAATTTGCCGAGATGATTCGATTTGAGAAATCTTGTTTTTGCAACAGAATATTAATTTTTACTTGACATGACTTTAGTTTTTGATACGTACGTGTGTAACTACTAGAATGGCCGGAATAACCAATTTAATTAATTAATTTTTCTAGAAATTATCTGGCGTAATTTTAACTTCAACGATCCTTCTCTGAAATTTTATTATCATCTTCTTTTTTTCTTTGTGAATAAAATCTTGCATTTCTCACTGTACCAAATATACTCTTTCTCTACATTTCCCTGAATCGTCACTAATTCCAGCGTCGAATTTACCAGAGATCAGAAATTCTACTTGCACTTCAATTAGCCCATAATTACTTGTATCCACTATGGGCGAGCAAGAAAATAATTTCTTTCGAAAATATTCTTGTTTCGTGGGAAATCCATTACTCGTATCAACACCCAGAACGGATAATTCTCGTTTATGGACAAACATAGCGAGAGTAAAAGAGAGAGAGAGAGAGAGAACGGAGGGAGGAAGGAATATCGACGTTTATCGAAGTATTTTTCTTCTTGCCGCTGTGTTTCCACGCCGACCCTCCCTCCCCTCCTTTATTTTAACGCTCGATATTACCGTTTTTAGAGGAGCGAACCGCGGGCAAGAGCGTTTGACGGCGGAATCGAGTGGCGGTACATCGAAATCCTTTTTCGACGCGATTCAGCAAATATTGACGCTCGCGAATTGAAATTTGCATGGACGGCGAAATTGGCAAAATATTTCTGCTCGTAAAAAGGACGCCTCGTTCGGCGCGCGGTCGGTACGGCGAGAAATGGAAACCGGTGGCCGATGACGAGAAACGACGACGTCGACGAGGTGCTCGCCCCTAGGGAATATCATTCCCGTTGCCTAACGTAAAACTGAACTCTTAAATTTAATATCACGCCGTTCGATCGACCCGAACGCATCTTTCGTTCCGTCCCTTTTCCTTCCCAGCCAGCTTGCCGACGATAAGGGAAATTTCTAATGAAGTTCGCCGTCAGCCCGTTTCACCTCTTCGATCTTTTCGAACGTGTAATTTTCGAAACCTCGTTTAGGTGTATCGTCGTTACCGCGGTGAAATTATTTTCGAGGAAGCAAAGTTCTCGGAGATCTCACGATTTCGTTTTACCCCGAAGCATATCGAAGGATCGACGTTAATCGTGAAAACGGATGAAAGGCAGGCAGACGTTGTCCAATTAAATTTTCGCCGGTTCTCGATGTGTGGAACTCGTTTAAAAAGTATAATTAATATATTAATTCGTCCAATTTAGGCGGTCGAAAGTTAGGTTAAACAGTTTGCTGTCAACGAGTGTATTTTCACGTATTTTTAACGAAGTTGCCCCACCAACCGCGTCACGTTCCGTCATAATTAACGTGATTCTGTCCCTCCGGTTCACTCTCAAAAAATTATTCCACTCTCATTGACTGTGTATCTATCTGTCGAAAACAAAGACCTCCTTTGTACATCTCGTTCTAATCATTTGAAAACAATTTCACTAGAATTCGATACATGGAACTCTACAGAAATATTAAATCGCTAAAATCTTACAAAAAAAAAAAAAAAAAAAAAAAAAAAAAAGAAATTCTCACAGTCTTCGTTTCGATCTGTATCGAGCACTTGGACTAGTCAGGATCGATTCGCGCGACCGTACGTTCGCGAGAAGCACAGATCTTGGAGGAATCTGATTCTCAACACGATCCGGTGATCTTTTTTCAGGGTCCGGTCGGGGAAGTGGGCGGCGTCAGGCTGCCGTTGCAGTCATTACATGGGTACGGATCTGTGTTCATGTACTCGGCGTCGACGAGTCCCGGGGGTGGAGGTGGCCAGGGTGGCGGAGGCGGAGGCGAAGTGACCCTCCGCCTCCGCGAACCCGAGGACATTCCCGAAGAAGTTCTTGCACGCCTCGAGGACACAGCCACCCTCTCCATCTCTCTTCAAGGCGACGCAGTGCTGAGGCTGGGGGCGGCTGGCACTGGTAAGTCCTCTGTTTCTTTCTTCCTCGGGTCACCTTCCGCTTCTGTTCGTTCCGATTCTCGGAGAGCGGCGAGACTCTTTCGACCGGATGAGATTTGTGCGATTTCGAGAAATTGACACTCGCTCCGACCGTTTTTCTTTTTTTCTTTCCTTTTTTTTCTTTTTTTTTTTCTTTTTTCTTAACGCAGACCGTGCCTGCTTGCGAAGGGTTCTAGATTCGTTCCAAAATGGGAAACAAAGAAAAGTCGAGGCAATAGTCGAGAGATGTGGAGGAATTGTTTTGTTGGATTTGATGACGTTGATCGTTTTGATCGAATTTGAAACCGACAGCGATAGTTTTAAGATACTTGAATGAAGATACGCGTCGTTTGTAAGTTGTTTTATTTATAATTAGGTAATTTCGATGAAAATCCAAATTGAATATCGAGGGGTTTTTTTTTTTTTACAGTCCTAATAACTGGTAAATCAGTTCTTTTCGACAACGAAATATTAGTATATGAATAAAAAATAAAGTATACTTTGAGAAAATTAGAAAATAGAGAACTTTCGCTACATGTCAGAAAGATTATTATACAATTCATTCTTCAATTTTATAACATCGTTGTAGAAATCTCTGATTGATAGAATTTTAATTGGAATGAAGTGATCAGACGTACGAAATGACAATAGCAATTTGGAAATGGTACGAGAAAGGTTAAAAACTGTCACTTTCATTAATCATCCTGCTAGACTCAGACATTGAAACTAGAAATCAGAAAGATTTAGATTAAAATCAAACAGTTGAAAGGTGGGGAAGTGAACTGGGTGAAATTAATAAAAGAGTGTTACCGGTGGTCAAAGTCGCGCGATAAATAATTGGCTTTGCACGGTGCGTAAATTTCATCCGGGGTCGGAGCAGCAGCCTTCGCGAAACTTACCCCCGGAATTTATTATAATGGGAATCGCCCGTCTCTCCCTCCCTCCCCCTCGTATTTTTCGGATCGCAATTAATTTTCTCGTTTTCGATGCGCGGCTGCGTGTGTGGCCACCATCGTGCAGATTAGCCGGCGCGCGTTTGCACGCGTGCGCGCGGCCTAATTCAGAATTATTTTACTGAAATACGCCGATCCCCGGCCACGCATTATCGCCCGATACTACTTTCGCGCGATGCATTTTTCCCTGATAAGCTGGCCATTCGTTTCGTTTTATCGGCGCCGCCGATGCGACGTTGCTACCAACGTAGGCTACCACTGTCGCGAAATTTGTGCGCGCTCGGCTAGTTGGTGGTGAACGATCGCGCCGCTTGCTCGTGCTAAGCAGAGTTTATCAGGCATTAAATATTCAGTTGCGAAAATTTTATCCTACGAGTTTTGGTCTTAATTTTATATTTCAAGCGGGGACGGTTCGTATCGTGTGGGATCACTTTACGCGGTAATTTCAATTTACGTGTACAATAATTTTGCGTATTAATTGCCGAAGAAATTTTTTGGCGTTTGGTAGATGATGCCTCGAGATATATTTTCAAATTTGGTTTGCAATTTCAAGGTTTGCGGTTCGATTACTTGCCCGACATAGGGACGAAAATAGCGGAGAGAACAATTTTATTGGATGTTTCGTGAGAAAGAAGTAAGATACTCTTTTTCATAGCAAATTGTTTATTTATTCTATATATCGTGGAGGATGTACGAAAAGTAACGATAAAGAGCATCTCATTTTGATTTAATCTCAGATGCTCCACGAACGAATAAATTGTTAAACCCGGATTTATATTTGTACAAAATTTTAATTGCTTCGAAATAACACTTTAATCGCGAAACTTACCATATTTCCTTCAAACGATCATACCTGATCGTTCACTTGAATTTCCACTATTTGATCAATATTTTGATCAAATAAACCTGACCGGCGTCTCGATTGATTTGAAAGAACTCAAACAAAGTCGTTCTCATTAACCTGAGCCTAACCTAAACCTCCCTAATTGACAACGAAATGAAAATATCCACCGAATTGGAACAAATTACGCTTGCAAACGTCTGGTAACGTAGCGGTAAGGGTCTCTGTCAACAGAGCGAGCAGAGCTGCTCCACGAAACGAAAGCTGTTCCCTCTGAAAATATACGGGAGAAACAGCGACGGCTTCCGAAAGCTAAACGAACGTTGTGCCCGACGTTGCCGCAATCGTCGGGAATCGATCGCATTAACGATTAACCCCCGAAGGAAATGAAGGCGTAACCTCGATCCTGCTGCTGCGCTTTCTCCGAAAGGCGGAAACTTCCAGATTGCTTCAGTTTCGTGTATTTCCATTGAAACTAAACGTCTGCCGTTTGTTGGCTCGACGGAGCACGGGCTCGTTCCGTGTAGATTGATCTCAATAAATCGTTCGGGGGCATCAAAGCGCCCACCCGGTGATCGCGTTTCAAAAACTCCGGCCTGGGAAATAAAAGTTTTCTTATTGCGAGCGGGGCGCGTTCGATCTGTTTATTCGAGGGAAAACTTTCCGACGAGGAGGAGGATCGTCTTTCGAAACGGCCGACCATTCGATATTTGCCGCGTGTCCGATCGAGCATCTCGGGTCTCCTGTTTCCTCGAGTCTCTTCTTCTATTTAACTTGTGTCTTTTCTTTTCAATGGTGTTCGCTTAAATTAATGTATAACGTAAAGTTCGCAGTGTCGTCATTCTATGCGTCTATCACGGTATTTATTACAGTTTTTGAACGAATTCATGAACGAATCTGTATCTGAAACGAGTTTTACTCTTGTAATGATTTTAAATAGTATATTTGTAATATTTTATTTGTTGTACAATTATTTAATAGATGAAAGGTTTCTCTTGTTGCAATTATTTGACGGACGAAAGGTTCTACTTTTCTGATTGTGTTCACAAAACTTTGGATTCGCATAAACATTTACAGATACTGCTATATAATTTACAGCCGGAAGAGTTTCACAATACTGATTGTCTTAAAAATGATGCTTCGTTTTCTTTTTTCCTATCTGTCGTGTCGTGAGGTTAGTTTAAATGTACGTACGGACGGGATTATATTAACAAGTACAGAAATTCATATCGATGATTTCACTTTTGTTCGAGTGAAATTACTCGCAAAAAGATTGAATTCGACAGATATTCTGCAGCTTCGTGAAAATCAGTTGAATCTCGTTTTCATCCCGGACAGAGGAAACGGAGAACTTTCGCCCTCTGCAATCTCAACCGCAAACACGCTTACTCTCCTGACAGACGTTCGAGACTCGTTGACACGGTGACGTCGGGAAATTCGTATTCTCGCGATTAACTTGAATCCAATTTCTCTAAGCAACTTCTAAAACCCATCCCGGCAGTAGATCCGCTTCGAAGGTCTCACGTCGAACCACGCGAAAAGCGGACGTTCGTTTCCCGTATTTTTTCCGGCGACGGGGGAGGGAGGGGAACAGCAAACAAAAGCGCGAGAATTCCGGGGTTTTCACTGTGGGCAGGGAGCAACAGAGGAACCACCACCATCGGTCAAGAGAGAGAGAGAGAGAGAGAGAGAGAGAGAGAGCCGGTAGAAACGGATTAAAACTTTTATCAGGGCTTTCAAAGGCAGCTGGTCCACGGGACAGAGGGTGCCCTTCTGCCGAAAAGAGGATTCGTGGAACGATCGAACGTTAACTTCCGGACGATTTGTCTGAGCCTCGGGGCCGCCTCGGTGGTTGGCGGCTGCCTCTCGCGCATGCCGCGATAAATCCCGGATTTTCATAAGTTTCCTCTTTCTCTCTCCCTGTGGTCCCCTATTCGGCCACGAGAAGCTACCATCCAGCCAAAACCATTGAAAGCTTTTTCGCCTGTCTCGCGGACCACTACCTCCCCCCCCCCCTCCCTCTCCGTTTTGCCCCTTCTGTCTCGTATTTTAAGCATTCGCTTGCATTCGACGATCGAACCGAGATATATGTCCCCTTTTCTTCCTTCTTTCCTGCTGTTTTCTCTCGCGAAAGAGGGAAGAAAAGAAAGGAGCGAGAGAGGGGCGAAGATTTATCGAAGTTGCGGCTTGTTACCGAGGCTTTGCGCTTGCGAGAGGCGGCCGCCGCCGCTCGAGAGTCGCGATAAAGGTGCTAGCAATTGATTAAGAGGGTCGTTTGCGCCAAGGAAATGCTACTTCAAACGCGACCCAACCCCCTGATCTTAGCCGCCGCCCGACGCTTTCTCCAGGCCTCCTCCGCGCCTCCCCCGGATTCTTTTGTACGAGGTCCCAGGCTTCTCTCGCTGCTCCCGTCGAAACTTTCCGCGGTAATCCGACCGCCTCGCCCGGCAAATCGGGGATCTCGCGTTTTATGCCGGTAATCTGCCACGTTTTACCTCGTTGTTCCACCCGGATTCGAAGCTGATTTTAGCTCGCGCTGCGGTAACGAAGCGCGGACTCGGAATTGGAATTTCAGGATTTGAAGCTTCCGGGTTATCGTAAAGGCAGAGCCGATTGTTTGCAAGCGAGCACTTAATTCGTGTGATTCAATGCCTCTTGGAAATTTAAATTCTACTTGGAAAGGTTTATCTTGTTCGAAGATACCTTGAGAAATATGAAAATTCGTTTCAGTATCGTTGCACATTGCGAGACTAGAGTACTGTTGCATGATTTGTATGAAAATTTCAAAGGACTAGCTCTCCTTCGAGCTTTATCGTCACAGCCTGTTCGTCTTGGAAATATGAATTAAAATTGTGTGGTCTGAAGCGACAAAACCGATATTTAATAATGAATTTCATATTTCAAATAACTCTATTCGCTGATAAATTCTTATAATTCTGCGAACGAGCAATATTTAGAGGTTCCACATTAGTGAAACAATCTCGTAATTGCTGTCAAAGTAATTGTATCAAATTGCTGTAAAATTTTCAACAATCGACGTGTCCTCATAAACACGCGAAACATTCAGTCAAGTTTCAATTTGCAGTACTCGATCTGGAACAAAAGCGACAGAGCGCAGTAGTATTAACCAGTTTTAGTCAGACACCGCGCGACTTTGAACGATCCTCGTCATTTGTAGTCAGTTGTAGC